AGCCATTCTTTGCCCACCCCTTCCCCTCCCCATCCCCGCCCCTTGCGCGCCGCGCGGAATATCCACGGGCAACGGATCGCCGCAACGTGCATGCGAACGCCGCGGTGCGGCCGCCGAACCGAAAGGGATGCCGCGCCCTGCCAGTGCCACAACCGTTTGCGAGCGCCCCCGCTACAGCATGCCGCGCACACGCGCCCCGCGCGAACCGCCCACCAATCCGCCCCTATTCGTCGCTATCGGCCGCTGAACGCCAAGAAAGAAAACTTCTCCGACTTTTCAAAGCTTCCATGCAAGCAGACGCAACACTATTGAAGGAAAACGCCTGGTCCGAAGAAGCAGCCCCAATAAAACTGCCACGGAACAGCCGCTCACGCTTCCCAATCCGAAAAATTTGGGAGATGCCTGTCCACCCCCGCCCTTTGGCCCGAGACTCGACCTCGGTGGCGTCGGACCACATCGGCGGGGCATGTTGGAGCAGCCCCTTTGGAGCAACACCGCTGTCACCACTGACAATTGCCACCGTCGAAATCACCCCGAGCGAGGCGCCCTCGAAAGGTCTGTAGCACAAACGCCCTGCGGCCTGTGCGGCCAAGGCTTGCACGCGCTTGACGTGCTGCCCAGGGCCCCCCGAGTCCTTTACCTTCTGCCACCGAAGGAAGATCTTGGAGCCCTGCAGGTTGAAGAACGTGCCGCCGGGGAGCGGGGCGGCCAGGAACGCCGCCTCTGCCGTGCTCTTGATGACTCGCACTGCCGCGACCTCAGGGCCGTAGCCGATGGCACCGCGCACCTTTATCACCTGCTTGCTGAGTTGCGATCCAAAAACAAATTGAGCAATCGCAAGAGGTTCGCTCTGGATCTTGCCGAGCAAGTCCGCCGCTGCATAGGCGCTGGACGCGGTGACCCGACCAGCGATGGTATTCGCAGTAGGCTCCCCAATCACCTCATCGTTACGGAGCGCGGCAAGGAGCGTCTGGCGAGCAGGAGCCCCAGCTCCTTCAGACACCAGCTGCGCCCGTGCTTGCCGAGGTCCCGAGGAGCCCATCGACCATGACACTGACCAGCTTGTCCGCAGGCAGTGCCGACTTGAAGACCACGAAAGTGATGGGAAAGGGTTTGCCACGCGCTCGGTGCCAGTCGGTGGCGGCCGCATGCTGCTGAGGATCTTGGTGCACCGCCAGGCTCGGCGACCCCATCACCGCGGCTCGGAGGTGGGCGGCCTGCAAGATCTTCGGTTCCCCGTGACAGTCCTTAACCACAAGCTTGAGAGCACCGTTCCCCGTGCTCTCTTGGCTGGACTGCTCGAACTCGTATTCCCTGGGACCACAGCGGCGGGCTTCGCCTGCTTCACCATCTGCGTCAGCTTCCCAATGATCTCGAAATCAGTTCATGCCTGGCCTGCAGCCGCGGCATCATCGCTCATCTTCATCGGGCGCGCCAGCTCCTTGACGAGAGGTGAATCCTTGCGTCGCCTCTTGGGCGGCGGCTTCGCGGGCTCCCGCGGGGCAGCCTTCGGATTCGCAATGTCCCGAACAAGTGAATCAAGCTGCCGTTGCAGTCTGCCAATCACGGACAGGTGCTTCAGTTGACGTTTCTCCCTCGTCACCTCAGCACCACTCCTGCCAGTTCGAATCGCTCCTCCACTCCAGAGAAAATCCGTGTGAAAGTCATAATCAGCCTCGTGCAAAACCGAGGATGTTTTGGAAGAGAAATGAATCTCGGCACATCACGTTCGGCATATTTCGACTTACTCGGGAGACGCAACCCGTCGAGCCCGAAGCCGCCGACGAACAGTCCGACGGCCAGGAGGGAGATGTCTTTCTCGCCTAACCTGCCAGTGTACGCTGAAGGAAGTCACCTGACTCTGGAGGGCGCTCGCTGGGAAGAGGAAGATGGGTGAGTAGTGGGTGTGCTGTTGGATGCGGGGGGGTCAAGTATAATGGCATGAGTCGCTCATTTCGGGAACGGACCTCGTTGGACATTGCGTAACGCATTGGGGAATTAGTGCTTGGGCGTGTGAAAACGGGGTGTGGCGTTGGAAACGGAAAGCATTGATTAGAACAATATGTTCAAGTTCGTCTTGGGGAAGGAGCCTGTTGAATTTTGGGTGTGGTGCTGGAGACGGAAGCTGTTGAGTGCTGGGCGTGTTGGAAACGGAAGAGGGTTTAGTAAACTTGGATTTAGACATTCATCTTGGGCTGGGGCTCGTTGGATATAAGATATGGTGTCGGTACCGAAGGCGGATGAGTACCGGGTGTGGTGTCGGAAGCAGAGGGAATCGAGTAGAAGGGCATTTCCGAAGTCATTTTGGGAAAGGGAGCTCGTTGAATATTGGGTGTGGCGTTGGAGAAAAAAGGTTGGTGACAACCGGGTGGCGTGTTGGAAACGAAGGGAGTTGAGTATCATGAGCGTTCCAAGTTCATGTTTGGAAGGAAACCACTTGAGTATTGGGTGTGGCATTGAAGAGGAAACCATTGAGTACTGGGTGTTGCATTCAGGGCTGAAAGAGTTGACTATATTGAAAATTTGAAGTTCATCTTGGGGAAGGAGCCGGCTGAATATTGGGTTTGGCATTGGAGATGGAGGCTGTTAAGTACTGGGTGTCCTGTTGTGGACGGAGGGTGGGTGTAGACCTGAAGGGAACTTTCAGACTCACATTTGGGAGGGGACCTGTTTCTGCGGCTGGTGGAAGCGACTGCACTTGCAAGGGGCGAACACGGCTCCGAACTTGAACCAAACATTTCTTCAACAAAAGAGATTCGAAATTGACAATGGAAATCGGGAGAGCACTGTATAATTCCAGAGCTATCTACGATGCACACAAGAAAGGGGCCATGGTGCGTGTTGGTGTTATATTGAATGTGTTATATCACCACACGGCCACTATATGAATCGACGTGTGTGTATATATATACATGTATATACATGATGCACACAACGGGGGCCACGGGGCGTGCTGGAGGCTATATATACTGTACACTACAACCAAAATGTGTAACGCATATAAGGAGCACGCTCGCGCTACGCGCGTGCTTAGCGTCTAGCAAACCCATGCCCGTGACAAACAATAACGTATTCGGAGACATTCGCGTCGACGGAAAACACAACACAACATCTTCAGAGGGAACAACGTCTTCGGGGGGATAGCGTTTCCGTGGGGAATCGCATCTGCGGGGGGGATAGTGTCTTTACGGGGAATAGCGTCTTCACCAAACATAGCGTCTTCATGAGGAATAGCGTCTTCGCGCGGAATCGCGTCTTCACCGGGAATAGCATCTTCGCAAAAAGGATAGCGCACCCGCGGGAAATAGCATCTGCGGGGGGATAGCATCTTCTCGAATAGTAGCACCTTCACCAGCCATAGCGTCATCACCGGAAATAGCGTCTTTGCAGGGGATAGAACTTCGAGAGAAAAGCATCTTCGGAGGGGATAGCGTCTTCACGGGGATAAGCGCCTTCACCAGGCATAGCGTCTTCATAGGGCACTGCGTCTTCGCAGGGGATCACGCTTCCGCGGCAAATAACATCTTCAGGGGCGTTGCGTCTACACGGGAAATAGCGTCTTCAAGCGCGTTTGCGTCTTCGGGCGCATGTGCATTTTCAACCAGGAAAACGTCTTCAAGAGCATTTGCGTCTGCACCGTCTGGTTGGGCAATTGCGTCTTCAATTAAGATAGCGTCTTCGCCCGTCTTTTCCGCCCGCGGCCACTTGCGTCTTCGAATCGTGTCTTCGTCTTCGGCCAAGCCCGGACACCCCGGTTGCCCTACAAATATACTACTACTACTACTACTACTACTACTACCACTACTACTACTACTACTACTACTACTACTACTACTACTACTACGACGACCACTATTACTACTACTACTACTACTACTACTACTACTACTACTACTACTACAACTACCACTACTACTACTACTACTAATCCTACTACTACTCCCACTACTACCACTAGTACTACTACGACTACGACGACTACTACTACTACTACTACCACTACTACTACTACTACCACTATTACTACTACCACTACGACTACTACTACTACTACTACTACTACTACTGCTACGACTACTACTACGACTACTACTACTACTACTACTACTACGACTACTGCTAGTACTACTACGACTACTACTACTACTACTACTACTACTACTACTAGTACTACTACTACTACTACTGCTACTACTACTACTACTACTACGAATACTACTCCTACCTCTACCACTACTACTACTACTACTACTACTACTACTACTACAACTACTACTACTACTACTACTACTACTACTACTACTGCTACTACTACCGCTACTACTACTACTGCTACTACTACTCGTACTACTACTACTACTACTACTACTACCACCACTACTACTACTACTACTACTACTACTACTACTACTACTACTACTACTACGACTACTACGACTACGACTACTACACTACTACTACTACTACTACTACTACTACTACTACTGCTACTACTACTACTACTACTACTACTACTACTACTACTACGACTACTACTACTACTACTACTACTACTACTACGACTACTACTACTACTACTACTACTACTACTACTACTACGACTATGACTACGACTACGACTACGACTACTACTACTACCACCACTACTACTACTACTACTACTACTACTACGACTCACACTACTACTACTACTACTCCTACTACTACTACTACTCCTACTACTACTACGACTAACACGACTACTACTATGAACTACTGCTGCTGCTGCTACTACTACTACTACTACTACTACTACTACTACTACTACTACCCCTACTACGACTACTACTACTACTACTACTACTACTACTACTACTACTACTACTACTACTACTACTACTACTACTACGACTACTACTACTACTACTACTACTACTACTACTGGTGAATTCGGCGATTCCCGGTGCTACTGGGGAATGGCCGAATTCACAAGTTTATGGACCAGTTCACCCGGGTATGAATCAGAACGCAGCAGAGGATTCCTGATCGCCTGCGCTTCGCCGGTGCTGCTTTGCCAGTGCCACCGCGCCTTCTTCGCGCAGAGCTCTCCCCCCATCTGCTCCAGCTTCGGCGGCATGCTGTCCGCGATGCCGTAGCAGCGTTTCCTGGCCAATGCGCTGACCCAATCCAGCCTCTCAGTACCCAGCCGAATCTCGGGCCACGGTATGATCGCAGCGCGCTCGGTTGAATCATGCTGACAAACACGGGTGTTCTCAATGCTGGGAACGTTCTGTTTCAATTGTTTTTCTCCGTCTCCCCACAAACATGATTGAACATTTGCCTGGCGAAGGACCCAACCATACGCAGTTGTGAACACCGCAATTGTGAATATATTATTCGGTGGCGCTCCCTATGGGGTCACGAACCGTATGAGGTGTGTGCCGAATTGTGCGATAGGGTACACAACACGAACGACAACGATAGGTCTCAGTATGAAAGTTTGGGTGCGGGTGAGTCTAAGCGCGAGCGAGTCTGATTCTGAATGGATATGCGTGCAATTGATTTTATTGCATGACTGCGAGCATGGAGTCGCCGAGTGTAAATGCATACGACTGTGAATGTTTTGGGTCTGCCTGACTCTGAGAACAAGTGACACTGAGCGTCGCCTCCGCAAGGGGCTTTCCTGGGAACCCCGACGGCAGCGCCCGCGTGCCGCGACGCCCATGTCGGTACGCCCCACACGAGGATCGCGCCCGCTTCCTCCCCGATTTGTCCTTCTTTGCCGGCGAACTCCAAAGTTCAAGGCTGCGGGCGCCGCGCTACGCGCAGGTCGGACGTCGACGACGGACGACGACGACGAAGAAGTCGGCCCTAGGGAAGCTGTCGGGACCACCAGTTCCCTATGGGGCCACGAAATGTGTGAGAGGTGTGCCGAATTGGGTGTGCAGGACGCATGCGGCCGGCGGCACTGGGGCTTGGGCATGCGGGGCGCATGCGGCCGGCGGCACTGGGGCCTTCGGTGGAGCTCCCTATGGGGCCACGAAACGTGTGAGGGGTGTGCCGAATTGGGTGTGCGGGACGCATGCGGCCGGCGGCACTGGGGCCTTCGGTGGAGATCCCTATGGGGCCACGAAGCGCATGAGGGGTGTGCCGAATTCGATGTGCGGGAGGCATGCGGCTGGCGGCACTGGGGCCTTCGGTGGAGCTCCCTATGGGGCCACGAAACGTGTGAGGGGTGTGCAAAATTATGTGTGCGGGACGCATGCGGCCGGCGGCACTGGGGCCTTCGGTGGAACTCCCTATGGGGCCACGAGGAGTGTGAGGGGTGTGCCGAACTGGGTGTGCGGGAGGCATGCGGGCGACAGCACTGGGGCCTTCGGTGGAGCTCCCTATGGGGCCACGAAACGTGTGAGGGGCGTGCCGAACGAATTGGGTGTGCGGGACGCATGCGGCCGGCGGCACTGGGGCCGGGCCTTCGGTGGAGATCCCTATGGGGCCACGAAGCGCATGAGGGGTGTGCCGAATTCGATGTGCGGGACGCATGCGGCCGGCGGCACTGGGGCCTTCGGTGGAGCTCCCTATGGGGCCACGAAACGTGTGAGAGGTGTGCCGAATTGGGTGTGCGGGGCGCAGTCGGCCGGCGGCACTGGGGACTTCGGTAGAGCTCCTTATGGGGCCACGAAACGTGTGAGGGGTGTGCCGAACGAATTGGGTGTGCGGGACGCATGCGGACGGCGGCACTGGGGCCTTCGGTGGAGCTCCCTATTGGGCCACGAAACGTGTGAGGGGGGTGCCGAATTGGGTGTGCGGGACGCATGCGGCTGGCAGCACTGTGGCCTTCGGTGGAGCTCCCCATGGAGCCGCGAAACGTGTGAGGGTGATGGTGATGATGACGGCGATGATGATGACGATAATGGTGATGATGACGGGTGAGCGGAGGAGGGAGGGGGGGAGGAGGAGAAGGAGGGAGGGCGCGGAGACCGTCTCTTCAAAACGAGGACCCACCAACACAGGTTGGTTGGGAACAGTGTAGTTTCACAATGTAGGTTGATTCCTTTTTTCTGATGTTTCGTTTTCCCTGGTTTAATCCTACATCCTTCGCAAGAGAAGACATGTTCAAAATCCGCTGGAACGGGAAACCGTCATGTAAGGCCGCCACAAGATGAAAACCTGTTTCAAGGCCGCCGCAAAGGAAATCCTCTTGCGAGGCCGACACAGCGGCATGCTTTTGCAACGCATTGGGGTCCTGAAGCAAGGCAGCCGCAAGACGATTGGGAAAGCAAGGTCGCCACGAGGAGGAGCGACGACATCGACAAACGAAAACGATTGGTGGAACAATCACGAGTTTACTTGCGTGCTGGTTAGCAAAGTAACTGGGAAAGTGCCCTTTTTCCAAGGCGATGGGAACAGGCCCTGTGGTGAAAAGAGGGAGCGCTCCAGCGTTCCGGAGAGGAAAGCGAGGGCCAGCGCGTGCGTGCGAAAGCCTCCCTCAGAAGTGCGGCGCCACGGCGTCGTAAAGGATGCCGCAGGTGCCGCACACCCACACCCTGGCAACACGAGCGGGGCGTTAGGAGCACTGAGGATTGCGGGGTGGGCGGGGAGTCGAAATGAAATTGACGTTGTTATGCACCTGCTTGTCTTCCTCCTCCTGCTCCTCCACCTCCTCCTCCTCTGAATCTTCTGTTGCTCCCTCATCCTCATCTTCCCCATTTTTTGGCCAGCGTCTGGACATGTGAACGGCTCCTCCTTTTCTTGTTCCTCCTTCTACTCTGTCTCGCGTGTTTCCCGCCCCTTACTATTCACCATACTTCTGCCTGTGCCGTCGCACGGATGCTCCCCCAAACTGCCGACAGCTCTTCACAGCTCCCTACGGCTCTAAGGTGCTCCTACTGCTAGGGCTGCGTATGCCTCTAAACCAAGCAGCCAGAGGCACCGAGAGCTCTAACTGACACGAGCAAGGAACTCATCGAAAACCTACGGTATCTTACTATAGCGCCTCTTTATATCGTAGCAAACATATCTACCGAATATACCCTCACTGGAGGATTCAAGACTTCTACCATTACGTCCTCGAACACCACGGTTTTCACAAACGAAGCCCATTGCACATCTCAAATAGTATTGTTTGATCTGCTTACACGTCACGCTTGTGCCAACTCCTGTGAGCAATCATCCCCCGAGGTGTTCGCAATAGTTATATTTTTCTGACCCCCCATTCAATGTTAAGACCATCCTACTGGTAAAACTGGTTACCTTTCTGAGTGGGCCTGGCCACGGTTCCCTGGTGGTTAAACGGTTAAAACAAATAGAAACAAGGTAACAAGGAGCCCTTTCGACCCCCCAGTCTACTCCTACACATGTGCCCTGCACGTCATGGTCGACGGCCTGTAATCTAGAGACCCCCTCGGAATAGTCCCACCGGAGCACTCTCAAAATGTGTTACGGGCGCCTTGCAGCGCAATAAGCTCCAACAACTGCCAAAACTCCAATCGAATCCGATCAAAGCGGCAGACGTATCAAACTTATGAGGGAGCCGTGCATCATTATTCGACACCTGCTTGAGCTGCCCACAACTGTAGTCGAATCCTTCTACAACTGTGTGCAAGCTTTGATAAAATCCGACCGCACCCGTTCACCCCATGTGATATATTCCAGCAAGAACTGCCGACAACAGACCCAGCGTCGTATTGAAATCCAATACACCTTTCACGGGATCCGACTGAGAAACCGTGCAGGTCACCTTCAATCCTACCAAACCTGACTGCATATATGACACATTGCCACTGCGTTCCCTACAACCGCGAAGGAATGCACGGCTGCTGCCTGCACGTTAGGCAAAATGCGACTAAAAAGTGTGAACAGCATTCTGCGCAATCTGTGTACCGATTCAAAAGACGCCAACACGTGCCCTGGTTCACCGCCGTCCACCTGTTGTAAACACCAGGCAACGATGGTCGAAAATTACGGGTGCCCCCCATACAGATGTAGAACACAAGCTGCTGAAGTTGCCTGTATCCCTCGAGTAAACCAATTCAAGCTCATTACATTCTGGATGAAACTATAGGGGGGCGACACCTCATATCGAATCCTACAAGCTTCCTCCGAGGCTCCCGCGCAATACCACCAAATATTCGCGCAACGCTGACATAACTTTATTAGCAGCGCCTACAACCCCAAACGGTTCCGACCACAATTGCGTACCGGCGTGAAGTTCGAACAAACGTCTAACGGCGCGCGACAACTACAGCTCCAAAAGGAGCCGGCAATCCTATCCGGACGCGTCGTCCCACTGAGGTCCCCTGCAATTCTAATCGGGTCCTCGTAGACCGCATGCACTTTTCATGCGCTCCTATTGCAAGTGCCCTCAGCGCGAGTGTACAGATACTAGATCTGACGACCATCCTGAAGCAATCGTGTCAGAGACCTGGGCAGCCTTGATGTAATTGCCATCGAGTTCGCTAAATGTTTGATATCATGATGCTGGAGCCCCCATGCAATCATAATGTGGTCCTTCTGGATATCCCTAAATGTAATCCTCATGCGATCATACTCGAGCTGCGCCAAAAAATCACGGGATGCTGGCAGAAGTGCAACAAACTCGGGTCGAATCCTGCCAGCGCTGCCTAAAAGGCCCAGGGGGACCCTTAGGCACCGTCGGGAGATCCTTGCGAGTCCTAAGGGCACAAAAAGACAAGCATAGGATCCCACGTAATCCTCGGACATCGCTCGAACTGCTGAGGCTTCCTGGGGGAAGCCCGCCCTACTCCTCTTCCTCATCGCGGAGGGCGAGAAAGAAAGGGAGAGAGAGAGAGAGAGAGAGAGAGACTCTCCGCCGCGCCAGGTGTTTTGTTAGTTTGCTGTTTGTTTGTTGTATTGGGGTGGGGCGGATGAGGAGCAGGCAAGGACGGGGAAGGAAGAGGAGGAGGGGAGAGCGTCGAGGGGTGCAAGATTGATTGATTGATTTCCTCTGCGTGGGACATGTTTTCCATACCCCCTCCCGCAACAAAAAAGTCCAACCCGAACCGTGTGTGTTGTTTTTTTCGTGTGCGTGTGTAGTTGAAGGATGTGCGAAACTGCCCCCGCCCCAAAAAAATGCACGCCACCCCGCCCCGTGTTTTTTTTTTTTGGAACCACACACACACGAAGATGAGTAGAGCAGGAGGAACTGGAATGGGAGAAAAGGAAAAAAGGAGGAGGCGGCAGAGGAGGAGGAGGAGAAGGAGGAGAAGGAAGAGGAGGACGAGGAGATACACGCGCATGCGCGCACTACGTTTGTAAGTCTCGCCCACCTCCGAATCCCCCTATCCAGGGTTATATGCTCGTTCTGCGAACCTTCCTGGAGCCACTCGCTCCACTCTTGCGTCGATCTGCGTCGAACGTCCGTCGGCTTGAGCCGAACTCGAGTCGAACTTGAGTCGAGCTAGAGTCAAACTGAAGTGGAGATAGATCCGAACTAGGGTCAGCCAAATCCGCTAGGTGTCCCAAACGAACTAAGTCAAACAAAACGAACGTTTAAGGTTGGGGTGGGGGACGACCCTCAAGCAGGGGCGCCACGAGAAAACCACGACGGGCGTGTTCGCAAAGCTCTCGCCACGCGTCGTGGCTCCCAGAACACACGCGGTTCGACTCAGCTCAACAGCGCCGCGGGAAGAGGAGGATCGAGAGCTCCTATCGCGATGCATCCATGACGGCCTTTCGGGCGAAGCCCGAATTTGTCTCTCGCGAGGTAAACTGACTGAACTGAACTGGCTGGTCACACCCGTCAGCCAATGGTTTTTTTCTCGGCCGCCGAGGGCGCAATCCATGGCGCAACCGATCGGAGACGGTCTCATTCTCGGCCGCTGGGGGCGCAACCTATGGCGCAACCGATAGGAGACGGTTTCATTCTCGGCAGCCGGGAGCGCAACCTATGGCGCAACCGATCGGATACGGCCTTCTTCTCGGCCGCGGAAGGCGCGACATGTGGCGCAGCCGGTAGGATACGGCTTTACTTTCGGCCGCCGAAAGCGCCACCTAGCGCTCAACCGATCGGAGACGGCTTCTCGGCCGCCGAGGGCGCAAGCTATAACACAACCGATCGGATACGGCCTTCTTCTCGGCAGCCGAGGGCGCAACCTATAACGCAACCGATAGGAGACGGATTTCTTCTCGGCCGCCGAGGGCCCGACACATGGCGCAACCGATAGAAGGCGGTTTCTTCACGGCCGCCGAGGGCGCAACCTATGGTGCAACCGGTAGGAGACGGTGTTTTTTGGGCCACCGCGGGCGCAACCTATGGCGCAACCGATATGACACGGTTTTCTTCTCAGCTGCCGAGGGCGCACTCATGGCGCAACGGATAGGAGACGGTTTTATCCTCGACCGCCAAGATCTCAACCTATGTCGCACCCGATCGGAGGCGGTTTTCTCCTCGGCCGCAGAGGACAACACCTATGACGCAACCGATAAGAAATGGTTTTACTCTCGGCCCCCGAGGGCGCAACATATAGCGCAACCGAATATAAAGGACGGTTTTATTCTCGACCACCGATGGCGCAACCCATGGCGCAACCGGTAGGAGACGGTTTTCTTCTCAGCCGCCGGGGGCGCATCCTATGGCGCAACCGATAGGAGACGGTGTCATTCTCGGCCGCTGGGGGCGCAATCTATGCTATGGCGCAACCGATCGGAGACGGCTTTCTTCTCCGCCGCGGAAGGCGCAACTTTTGGCGCAAACGATGGGAGATGGTTTCATTCTCGGCCGCCGGGGGCGCATCCTATGGCGCAACCGATGGGAGACGGTTTGATTCTCGGCCGCCGAGGGCGCAATCTATGGCGCAACCGATAAGGGACGGCTGCATTCTCGGCCGCCGAGGGCGCAACCTATGGCGCAACCTATGGCGCAACCCCAGTGCCAGGAGAAGGAGAAAGAGCAGGGGGAGGAAGAGGAGAAATGAGGACGAGGTCTTAGACGAGGGCGACGAGGACGATCTGGAGCAGGAGGAAGACGACAAGAATGAGGAGGAGGAGGGCGAGGAGGAGGAAGACGACGAGGATCAGGATGGGGAGAGGGACGGGGAGGAATACGACTTGTACGAGGACGAAGTGTGGGCATTCGAATGCGTGCGGGGCTACGCCCGATTTATGCTCGCCGCTTGGGCTGGCGGTGGGGCCCGATCGGCGAGCTGTCGTGCGATATGTATTGAAGGCGTGGGATTTTGATGGAAGGGGGAGGAGGAAGAAGAAGATAATGATGAGGAGCCAGCGGTTGCCAGACGTGATCCTGGCCCAAGGTGCCCCCACCTTTTCACGCCATGCTGGGCTCCCAGGGGTCCTGCGGGCCCTGAGACGGGCGCTCTGGAAGCTATCTGGGCCTCCCAGGGAACGCCGGGGCCACTGTCGCCAGGGCCATCTCTTTCAACACCCGAATGAGGAGCCTCTCGGGGCCGCCGTCGCAGCCGGAGCCCGACTGGGGGTCCTCGTCCCAGCCGCACTCCTTCTCCTCGTGGTCCGACCGGATGAAGCGGCCCGTGCCCTGCTCTCCCCACTGCGGGCCCCACGAGTTCTTAATCTGCCAATACTTGACCGGCCCGCGGACGGTCTTCTGCTTGACGCCCCAGGCGAAGAGGACCACCGCGTGGTTCACGATGAAGTCCCTGTCGCACGAGTCCTCCGCCATCACGCCCTCCTTGTAGTCGAACCAGCCATCGCCAGCGGCCACCGCGACGTACAGCGGGCCGTTGGTCATCAGCTCCCGCACGATCGCGTCCTCCTTGTTCTCGGGCAGCTTCGTCCACCCGGTGAGGCCAATGGCGCGGCCAGCCATGTTCGACGCGCTGCGGTGCGTCTCGCTGCCGTCAGCGCCGATGATACCCTTGGTGGCCACTTCGGTGGACACCTTCAGCGACGCAGGGCACTCTGCCTTCTGGTCGTCGCCCGCCATGGCGCGGTACTCGCCGCGCTGCAGCAGGCCCTTGTTGAACACGTACTCGTACGCGAGCTCGGCCGTGGCCCCGTCGCAGCCGCCCTCACCGCCGCAGTGCTTCGGGTTCGGCGTGCACGCGATGAGCTGGTTGGCCGACCACACGATATTCTTGAGCCCCTTGACCTCCGCCCGGGCCTCCATGGTCAGCCGCGACGCGTGCGCCCAGCAGCTGCCGCAGGTGCCCTCGGGAGCGCGTCATCCAAGAGGCATCAGGCGTTGTTTTTGATTCAGGAGCGACTGGACAAACACTACATGTAACAGATCGAAATGACGCGTGTATCTTGATGGTGCAACCGTTCCGGGGAAATTCGCAGCGTCGAGGTGTGCCGTAACCCGTCAGTTACACGCCGATGTCATACGCCCCTTCTCATGCTGATTTGGTGTGTTGGAGAACGCGTCTATGATTCCGTGTAATTCGGAATCATACCCCCACCGTAGGCTTGGGTCCAGGACAGCATGGATACTGAAAGAGGTCACCAGAAGAGCAAGACGCGATGAATGTTAGACGTCGGCGGAGGTTCGGAGAAACGAACGCGGGGACCACGAGGGTTTCGGATCCCTCTAGAACCCAGATCTGGCCGAAACTGGTGCTCCCATACGCCAGCTCGAGCATTCCGAAGATGATGGAGAGCAACCGACAGTCCGCGACGCCAAATGCAAGACAGGAGAGATGGGCAAAGACCGCACCGGTGATCAAGCGTGCTACCGACCTGCCGCAGAACCTAGCACCTGGAGGAATACTTGAGATACAAGCACGCACAGGGCTGGTGTGGTGTAAGAGAAGAATGTTGAATGGGCCCTGGGACACACAACAAAAATAGACACAAATAACAGGATTCCCCACATTTCCCCATAGTTTCTGGGTTTCTGTCTTCCCCACCACCTCCCGTCTTTTCATATATTTTTGGTGGAAATCGACAATGAATTGTGTCTGTGTTTTTCCTCCTGAAATTTCAGCGTCTTACACTTTCTGTCCTCACGTCCGGAGATCCCGGGGTGGCCTTGGCGGCGGCCAGGCGGTTCCTTGCCCTTGCGCGCACCCCGAAGTGCCCGAGAGCGCCCAGCAGACGAAATCACTGCCAACGGCAAAGCAGCTACAAGGCCAGCTCATGCAGCGATGGGGCACTCAGAGGAGATGGCAAGGGGGGGGAACCTCGGGGCAAATACGTTGGAAACCCTTCCCATGGAACGACAACCCACGGGGCGATCCCCCCCCCCGGGTCAACGAGGGGGTGCGCCACGTGCCGCAGGCCTGCCGCGCGGTACTCCTTGGTTCACTGCCCCTCCAGCATGTCCTGCCCCCCCTCCCCTGCATGCCACACCCATCGAGTGGCTATGATGTTTCTGGGCTTCTGTGTGCCGGAGCCGAGGTACCAAAACGTGCAAAACTCTCCGCCGAGGCTTGGTTGAGAACCAGCCCGGGCAGGAAGAGGAGAGGAGAGCAGGGAGTAAAAGCAGACCAGAGGAATGCAATGGACTGGCTCGTCGTCCTTGGGACGGTGAAGCAGGACAGAGGACATACCAGTCTCATCTCGCAGGGACCTGGGCCACCGCCGCCCCTCTGACGCGGGGCTTCGCCAGGAGAGGCAGCGGACGGGAGGAAGGCTGAGGCTGGAGGGTGGCAAGATGAGGAGCGGCCATGGCTAAGTGGATGACGGAACGTGAATAGGGGAGCAAAAGTGAGATAAACATAAAAACTCGGAGGTCCGCGCGGATTTCTCGGATTGGCGCTGGGCCCCCTCCCTGGCGCGCGGAGCGCGCCAGGGAGGGGGCGGCGGCGCCACCGGCGCCGCCCCTGGCGCGCTCCGCGCGCCAGGGAAGGGGGCCCAGCGCCGATCCGAGAAATCCGCGCGGACCTCCGAGATTTTATGTCTATGCCGCTTTTTGTTCCCCTAGTGAAGAGGAGGAAGGGGAGGGCCAGGAGGGGACGCTGTGGGAGGCGGGGACGGAGGAGCCACACGCGCTGCCGAGAACCGAGGGCCCCGCCGCACGAGGGCCGCAGGAACAGCGCGGAGACGGTCGAGGTGTGGCCCCCGGTATTGTGCGGTGCCTCCTCCGCCTCCTCCGCCTCCTCCTCCTCCTCCTCCTCCTCCCTCCTCCTCCCGCTCTCCTCCTCCTCCTCCTCCTCCTCCTCCTCCTCCTCCTCCTCCTTCTTGCCCGGCGACGGCGAAGCCTCCCCCCCACGCATCGCCCAACATGTTTTTGATTCGCGGGTCCAGAGCGCACCTCTTCCGGTCGAAGCTGAGCGGGCCGCGCGAAGCTTGAATAAACAGAGAGGGGGGGACAGGAGGAGCGCGGCCTCACGGCAAGGCCAGGAGGAGGCGAAGCCTCGGGATCTGGCGGTGCCGAAAACACGCATCGCCCAACATGCGTCCATTTATTTGAGACAAGCCCTTGCGATCGGCTACGGTGATGGCACTGGATAAGGAAGCCTTCGAGAAGGAACCCAGGGTCTGGAAGCCAGTGGAACTCCAATCGTGGATCGGCCATAGATCTCACCGCCGCCCTCATCAGAGAAGGACCCCCCCAGGGGCTGGCGCCTCCTGGGACTGTTCCTTGACGAACACCTCCACCGTAGCGCCTTCCTAGCACAAACGGTTGCCACATCTAAACGAAGATGCTTGTGCTGAGGGCATTTCAAAAACACCCATCCCCCGTGGCTTGAGCAGGGACCGACCGTCCCGGCATTCCTATAGTCCTACCACGCAATGTTCTTAGAACTCAGAAATGTTCTAAGAACAAAGCAATGTTCTTAGAACATAAACCCGATGTGTTAAAACAAGACAGTCCCAACCGGAAAGGTTCTAAGACCACTTCGTGGGAACCACAGAAGGGTCTTAGAACACTGTTTGGTAGGGCTATAGGCGAGCCAGGACGCTTCGCCACTGCTTGAGTGCCCGAGGGCAGTGGCAGGAGGCCGTCGCGCCGGCGCCAGCGGGCAACTTACACGAACCAAGACTGCTTCACGGATCGCGAGAGATGCTCGACTCGTGCCGGGCACATCGGGTGCCCGATGGCGGGGGGGGCAAGAGAAGAGGGGTAAAGAAACGCTCGGCGCCGGCTAACCTGCTGGGCCCGCGGCGGCAGCTGTGGCGCCGCCGTTCAGGGCCCCCGAGATCACCCGTGCCGCAGTCCTCGACCCCCCGCCCCCCGTTGTTGCTCCGGCGTTGCCGTCCGCCTCAGCACATGGGATCTTGGCTGGGCGGCGCCGCTGCGCGGAGCACACCGCGGCACCTCACAGACACCGCCACGCGGCACGACAGGCGACCAGGTGAGCGGCGGAACACCTCGCACCGCCAGCAGCGCGCGAGGGCCGAACCGCACGGCGCGTGGCCGGCATCACGCTGCTGGCCCCGCCCCTCCCCCAGCCTTGCACGACCGCGCGGCGGGGCCGAAGGACAAGGCGGGGGGGGGCTGGGCCCGACCACCTCGAGCGCCGCCCAGAAGGTTGCAAACAGCTCTTTGCTTCGCGGGTCGAGAGCGCACCTCCTCCGGTCGAAGCTGGGCGGGCCGCGCGGAGCTTGAGCTAACGAGGGGGGGACAGAAGGAGAGCGGCCTCACGAGAGACCCAGACATCCGACGTCTCGATTTTTTCGAGACACGGGCCTCCGACCTCCCGACCACTTCCCCGGGACCGGTTTTTCATCCCGAGTCGTTTTTTGACGGTCCCGAGGCCCGGCGAGGGCCCCGAGAGGCCAAAAACTGCGAAAAACCTTCGTCTCGATTTTTTCGAGACGCCCGATGTCTGGGGAGTTCGAAGAAGGGTGCAAACGGCCCTCCTGCTCGCTGCTGTTGGCCCGGATCGAGGCCAGGTGGCCCCAGGAGAAGTCCTCGGCGGGCGGCGCGCGCGAGCGGGCAGGGGCGAGGGAGGGCGGGCCTCCGAGCGGGCAGGGGGCGCCTTCATGAAGGGGCCCCAGGACACACACATGAGTACACACAAATAAAACTATTCCCCATATTTTCCAATATTTCTATTCCCCATATTTTCCAATATTTCTGGGGTTTTTGTCTTCCCCCCCACTTCCCATATTTTCCCACATTTTCTTGGGAGTCGACGATGAATTGTGTCTGTGTGTTTTTGTTCCCCTCCTGACTTCAGCAAGGGACCGACCACTTCCGACATGACTGCAGCACAAAGAACAAAACGCTTCCGAGAGCAATCGCTTTTTGGTATGTGGCGCAGGGCCCATGAAGTGAGAGGTGACATTCGAGGGGGGAGATTCGTGGCTTGGCCGCCCCGGCACGCAACTCGCAACACGTAGCGTTTCGATACGGTGCTCAACACGTAGACTGAACGCCGGCCGCCCCGGCCCACCAGGACACATTCGCTTAAGTCGGGCCTGTCTCCCTAGAGGAGGAATATTCAAAACTAGTAGAAACAAAATGTGTCGGGACGATTTTGTTTAACTATTGTTAGTCAACCAACGTATTGAGCACGGACGCCTTGAACACGGCACGCGTTACGCTTCAGAGCATGCGTACCACAGCAGCTGAGATTCGGGGCGGCACCGGCCCAGGGGCGGTGGGCACGGCGAGCAGGAAGCGGAGGCCCACCGCCGATGTCCTCGGCGATGGACTCGGCGGTGGACAAACCTCCCTTTAGCAAACCTCCTCGTCGTAATCGTCGTAGTCGTCGTCGTCGTCGGCGGCGGAGGCGGCGGCGGCGGGTTCGCTGCGGGCCCGGCGGACGCGGCATGCCACCGTCACTCGTCGGATGCGCGGGGCGGGACGCCCGGGGAACACCGGCACGCCTTCGGCCCGGCGGCCGCGGCATTCGGCGGTGGACAAACCTCCCTTTAGTAAACCTCCCCTTAGTGAAAACGGCCTGGGACCAAAACCGACGGACCTGGACCCGCAGAAATGACGGCCGCGACGCCCTCTCGCGAAACGAAAACGGCCAATTCGCTGATCGACGTGTCGGGGTAGGAGGTCTGTCAACCTCCGCTGGGCCCCCGAAGCAGCGCGTCCGCACGCTCCTGCGCGGGGCGGGCACTCGGGCCCGCTCCGGCGATGGGTCGGCGACTGGGCGTCGCTGCGTGCCCCTGCTGGGCCCAGGACTGCCAAAAAACGGCTCGGGATGAAGCAGCGATCCCGTTGACGGTGTCCAGGCCTCTGGGGGCCCACGCTGCGAAAAAACACACGACGCTGAGGGCCTGGGTCCACCGTACCACGACGAGCCTTTGACCGTCGGAAAAGCCTGCCTACCAAGCCAGGAGCCAGATGGTCTTTTGAGGCCCCTCCTCCCCTGGCGCTCGGGTGCTGCAGGAGGTGGGTGCCCCTGGCTCACAAAAACCAGCCTCGAACTGCTCCCTTTCCCCAAGATGGGCAAGCCAAAAGCGACGACAAGCTCAGGGCCAAGCCCTCAGAAACTGAGGGGGACTCCTCAAGATCGGTATCGAGGCAAGGCGGTGCCAGACATAGAGATAGGGATATGCTTCAAACTGGTAACTCACGGTGCCCCCAGCATGATGGGCCTGTTTTCCACCACCACCACCACCACCATAAGCTGGATGGGGGAAGGAGGGGGGAAGGAGGAGGAGAAGGAGGAGGAGGAGGAGAAGGAGGAGGACCCCCCCCTCCAACTCATGGTGGTGGTGGTGGACAACATGCCGATGACAGAATCTTCCAAGGAGGCCCCCACGGCCTCCAGAGCACACCTCGCGAGGCCCGGGGGGACCCCAGCAGAACAGCCGTGCGGCGCGCACGGGCGCGCAACGAAACGGCGCCCGCGAGAGCGGCCGCACTCTCTCGGGCGACGCTCCTCCAGGCGCTTGCCCCGGCACGGCGGCAACCTCTGACCACCGGACATTCCGTTATGCACGAGCAGGCACAGCACGCCTATGAACCTCCCGTTGAGGGGCCTGCTTTTCACCACCACCACCACCACCATAATTAAGTTGGAGGGGGGCGGGGGGGGGTCCTCCTCCCCCTCTCCTTCCTCCTCATCCTCCTTATCCTCCGCCTTCTTCCCCCCTCCAACCTATGGTGGTGGTGGTGGTGGTGGTGGTGGTGGTGGTGGTGGTGGCAAACAGGCCCGTCATCCACGCCCGCCTCGGGCGGCCGCGCCAGCAGCGCGGTGGCGGGCCCCGGAGGGATCCACGCTTACAGGGTTGAGAGAGAGCGCAGGCGCGCAAAATGGCGCAGGGGGCGGAGGTCAATAAAGCTGGGGGCGCCGTGGGCAACGGGGCACTCCCTTGACCTTCCAGGAGGGCAAAAAAATAGCACCAGGACCTCGACATCTAGATTCCTGCCGAGGTTTTAGTTGAGCAGGGACGGACCGTCCCGGCGTTCCTATAGTCCTACCACGAAATGCTCTCAGAACCCAAACATGTTCTAATTACAAAAGCAATGTTCTTAGAAGATAAACCCGATGTGTTGCAACAAGACAGGCTCCGCCAGAAAGGTTCTAAGAACATTTCGTGGAAATCACACAAGGTTTTTAGAACACTCTTTGGTGGGACTATAAGCGAGCCGGGACGCCTCGACACTGCTTGATTTAGGCAGTTCAGATAGGTCTCTATAGGTCTGGAGGGCTATTGTTTAGCACTCTGGAAGGTCAGGGTCCCAGCAGCACCCGAAAAGCGTTGCCCCTGCTGGCAGCCTTGTCTCGGAGGGCCGGCCCTCTCTGGCCCAGCCCCCCGCTGCGTGCCTGCCGCGTCCTGCGGCACGGGCTTCTCCGTCCCCTTGCCCCGCTTCGCCAGGAGGAACGGCGACCGGCCGAGGTCCCTCGTCGACGAGCCCCGGCGGGACCTCTTGGCCGTCGTCGTCGCCGCCGCCGCCGTCTCGGGTCGGACAGTAGGGGGCGCCGTACCCTGACCTTCGAGGAGGGCTAAAACATAGCACCAGGACCTAGGCATCTGAATTCCTGTCGAGGCTTCTCAGGCAGTTCAAATAAGTTTATGGGTCTGGAGGGCTAGTTTTTAGCACTCCAGGAGAGCCCAGGATCGAGTCGATAAGTCGGATCGGCGATCGAAAAGAATCGAGTCGGCGGAAATCGGCAGCCGAGTCGGGAAAATTCGAATCGGCGAAAATCGGCGGGCTAGTAGGGCTCCAGCAAGGAATCGGAGCCCAAATCGGAACCCGAAGTCGAATCGAGTCGGAATCGAAATCCATCGGAATCGAATCGAATCGAATCGGAGGAATCGAAACGAGCCCTGGCACTCTGGAAGGTCATGGCAGAGGTGGGTGTTCGCGAAGGTCAGGCTCGCGCAATCGTGTTTTCCCCCCGCGCCTCGCGGCGCCCGGGAGGCGCCCGCGCAGCCAGGAACGACGCCCGGAGGCGGGGCCGAAGCAAGCTGCCCATGCCGCAGGTTTGGATGTTTCGTATCCCCCCCTGCCCCCCTACAGTCGGAGCGTTGCCCTAAGGAACCCTAAATCGGGGATGGACAGACCTCCCTTTGGTACAACGTGGTTTAGTGAAAACGACCTGAGGCCCAGACCTGGCGGGCGCAAGCTTGGGAAATAACGGCCACGGCGCCCTCTCGAAAACCGAAAACGGACAATTCACTAATCGACGTGTCACTGTTGGGGGTTCTGTCCACCCCCGACTAAAGAAGGAACGAGGCCCCTTTTTTTCCAGAAGTTCAACCTCGATTTCCCATGGAAAAAAGCCCAGGAAAACCCTTGGCAAACTCTGGAACAATCAAGGAACACGGAGCCCCTCCCCGACGAAAAGGGTTCCTTCTCCGGCGACCCAACTGTATCTCCCCCTGACGTCCGACTCGATCGCCCACGCCCCCTTGGTCGGCGAGCCCCTGCAGGGCCTGTGGCCCCGCAGCGTGGCGAGCTCCTCCGGAGTCCAGTCCGAGAGGTGGTTGACCCCCGCCGTGTGCAGCGCGTCGGGCCGGCAGTTGTGGCTCGAGATCCGCGCGGCGCGCTCCGCGTAGACCTCTGGGCAGAGACACCCGGCTGCGGCAAGGTCCACGCCGCGGAGGCCTCGGCGCTGCCTCCTGCACCGCGCGGATCGCTCGACCGGTGGCGTGCCACCTACATCCACCACGCTGGGGTCGCCGCGGCGTCAGCGCGGCGCCCACGCGACGCGAACCGGCTGCAAGGGTTGCTTTCGGGCGTCCGCAGATTGCTTTGGCACCGTCGGCGCCGGACCTCACGTCCACGCACCATCTTCCCCCACGCACGGGGCGAGGCATGACGCCAGAGGCCAGGTCGGAGCAAGTTGAGTTGGATGATCGCGCCGCATCGACGATGCATCGCCGATGCATCGGCGATGCACCAGCGACATCGGCGGTGCATAGGCAAGGTCAGCGCGGAGAGAACTGGGCTCCACATTGAGCCGCCTCGGGGAGGCATCGGCGATACGGCCCGACCCTCCAACCCCATCCACTCGGACCCCACTTGAATAGCCTGGAATATCCCCTTGCGCGAGCTGGGCGACGCGGCGCCGAGAATGGAGCCTGCGCGGGCGAGACTTCTGGCGTCCACGGGCTTGCTTGCACAATGGCGCCAGACCCCCTCCGCACACCTCCTCCCCCCGGAATGGCGCCTTCGCCGGGAGAGTTTCTGCCTACCTTCCATCCAGCAATCAGTGGTCGCCCGACCAGTGGTAGTCAGCCAGTGCAAGGATCCTCTGGCCTCTTTCCTGCTGCAACGTCCGCAAAGTTTGGAGTCTGGGCAGGGGATCTGGGAGGGAGGTCAGTGCTGGTGGAGAGATCGTGCACGGACGTCCGACATGTATGTTCGTGTGCCTTTCCCTGGAAGGCCAAAACATGCGACCTATTCCAGAAACCCTGAACCCCACAAGAAACGCCATCTCTTTTGGGGGGGGGCGGTGTTTGCTTCCACCGGCTTCCACTATCAAAACCGCCCTCGTTTCACTTCCGCCGGCTTCTGCCAGCCTTCCACCGATGAACAGGTATCAACATCACGATTCATCGAAGACGAGGCCCTTTCTGCAACGCGCCATATCGATACCGATACGGCTGCTCCCCAGACCTCTCCTGGTGTGCCGAGGTGAATCTGGCGTTGGGACCACGGGGACCCCAAGAGGAGGCCCAAGAGGCGATACCTGTTAGAGGCTCAAGGGGGCCCCAAGCGAGGGATGCTGGTACCTGCGCGGTAGATACGTGTGGTCACGCAAGCTGCTATTGCAAAGCAGTGCACACGGGCGCATTTCCCATGAATGTTCGGACTCGTGAATTGTCCCGTGGGTCTCTGGACCAGTGGTCAACAAGCAATCTCCTTTCGGGTGGGGTTGTGTCCAAGCTCCAAGCAGGAAAATGTGCAAATCATGGACCGAGGCATTTGTGCGGTCGAGGGGGGGACCGGGGGACATGTTGAAAGAAGAGGACGTTCGGCCGAGAGGGGCACCTGCTGGAATGCTGGTCTCTTGCTTAATGTGCCTCCTGTATGCGAGTTTCCTCCTCTCACCTTAGCCCTCCGAAGACCGACTGGCGCATCTGGTACTGAAACGTGCCGGCCTCGTAGGAGCGACCGTACCTCTCGACAAACGCAGGGAAGTCCTCGTGGGAGGGAAACATAACCATGCCCACGGCCTGGCGGCGTGGAAACACCGGCCAAAGGGCGAGAAGGAGGTCGAAGGGATGGAACCAACGACGTGACAACCATAGGGACCACCCCATCCATCGGCCTCACTATGGCTATATCGATGCCATTATCAAACGATGTGTCAATCTATCCATTCCCCTATCGATTGCATTGCCTGTATATCGAAATCAACATTCATCGATCTCGCGATCGGTTAGTTTACCGACTCCACTAGATTTATGCATGTATCGACCCCTCTCTCGATATATGCACTCACGATCTTCCAAAATCACTCCACCCAGTTGGGGGGCGGGCCCGCGCAACGGGAGTGCAGGGAGAAGGAGGAGGAGGAGGAGGAGGAGGAGGAGGGGGAGGAGGGGCAGGCACGCGCAGCGGGAGGCGCGAAAGTCTCCAGGCAGGCTGCCGCTCGCAGCGCAGCCTCGGGGTGAGGCGTCCCCAGCCTCGGATGGGCAGCCGCCCCGCTCCATTCCGCCAGGCCCGCAGTCGCCGGGCTCGCCCCCTGACTGTGCTGGCGAGGGTGCCGGCGCAGGTGCTCCCAGCAATGCTGGCGAAAGCGCTGGCGTCGATGCGCCCGCGCTGTGCTGGCGATGCTGGCGTCGATGCGCCCGGCTGTGCTGGCGAGGATGCTGGCCTCGGTGATCCGCACTGTGCTGTCGAGAAAGCTGGCATCAATGCTCCTGGCTGCTGGCGGGGACGCTGGCGTCCGTGCTCCCGGCTGTGCTGCCGAGGATGCCGCCGTTAGTGACCCGCGCTGTGGCGGCGATGATGCTCAGGCCCAAGAGACTGCAGCTGATCTCGTTGGGCTGCAATTTTCCCACCAGGACTCGGCTGCGCAGCGGTGCGGCCCGCTGCCGCTGCCCTCCAACATCCCGCTCGCCGACGCCAGCATTGTGGCTGGACGCGTAGGACACAACACCAGTCGGGTTGGGCGCAGAGGTCGGGAGCAGAGGCGGGTCGGGCGTCGGGATGGGCATGGAGAGAGGGCGGGATGTCGGGCGGAGTGCGGGGCTGGGCTCCAGGCTGGGCGCCGGGGCATGCGTGTCGGACAGGGCGTTCGGCGGGGCGCCAGGCTGGGCATAGAGGGTGAGGCGGGGGGCTCAGCAGCAGGCTGCGCATAGGGGGTTACGTCAAAGCCCAGTGCAGCTGCCCTACCTCTTCGCGCTCGCTGATCCCCGCACCGTTGGCAAAACAGCGACTTGCTGCGCGGGCCACGATACGCGACATGAGCCGTGGTTCCCGAAGCGGCGGTGTGGTCCCAGAATGGTTTCGAGGTTGGCTGGCTACGAAGGTCCTGCTAGGGCCACCGCCTCAGCGGGGGGGTCTGACAGCAGAAGGGGGCAGCGGGAGCCACGCCTTAGTCGAGGAGACGTAAGACTCGGGTTCGCTCGGGTTGGTCTGACGGCCCATCATGAAAATGACGAGGCCCAATCTGAAATTGCACGTGCGCTACCGTTACAGACATCCCACGGGACCGTCAAAACCCAGGACGCGCTCGTCAAAAAGCGTCTGTAAACCCGAGTTCCAGCGTACAGTAGAAGCTCGACCACAAGAAACTTCGAGCCGAAATGGCTTGAGCCAAAGGGTTCGCGGGATCGTAAACACACACACACACACACACACCTGAGGGAAAAAATGATACCGATACCGCCACTCCTCGATCCTCTCCCTGGGTGCATTCTGGCAAGAATTTCCAGGAGGGCGACGAGGGCTCTCCAGGACGAGCAGCGGCATCGGTATCCAAGACTCGAGATTGGTTGACTCGAGTTAACCTGACGGGGCCGTCAGAAAAATTACGAGACCCAATCTGGACTTTGACGCGAATTCCCGCTGCAAACGTCCCACGACAACTGGACTGTCAAAAACCATGACGGGCCGGCCAGAGAGCGTCGGCAAACCCGAGTTCCAGCGACGAGTTGAACGTTTCCCTGCTCTCATCCCCTGATCACCTGATCACCCCCGTTTCCAATGATTTTCGGGCCATTGAATACTCCGGCCTCCCGCGGCCGTTCGAGCTGATGCGGGCACCCCCGGAACGCTCTCGGCGAGGCGCAGCTGCTGGAAAGCATCCAGAGGCTGGCAAACTGCCAACGACCAGCGAGAACGCCCGAGGCCCTCGATCGGGGGCGCGCGAACATGGATTAGCGATCCATGGATTCGGCGCGCGGTCGCCAAATCCACGGATCGGGGGAAGTGCCCTCCCGCAAATGCGGCCGGTGCCGCCTCGCTCGGCGGCGGGAATCTGCGATTTCCCAGACACGGGGCCCGTCGCTCATCCACGCCCCCTCGATCCATGCCTGCGATGGCCTGAGAGGCCCTCGAACCACGCCCGAAGACGCGCCAGAGCCCGTGCGCCCCCCCTGCACCGTCGGAGATCTGGGGGCGTCTTCGGCGCCCGCGCAGGTCCATCGAGGGGCCGCCGCAGTCCGCCCGGGCCTCCAGCGACAGCGCGGCGGCCATGGGGGCCCCACAGGCGGCGAAGAGGGCGGCGGCCGCCCGGCCGACGAAGGGCGCCATCGGCAGGGGCTTGCACGGCACGGGGGTGGGGAGAGGCGGAACATGCACCAGGAGGCAACTTCGGTGGAAGCTCGCGGGGGCCTCCCATGCCACCTTGTTGCCCCTTGCGAAGGGTCCGGGCTGATACCGACGCTCGTCGACGGGGGTCGACGCTAAACATCGGCGCGATTTCATCGACTACCAGGCGCTGGCCGACGCTAAAGACGCAATGCAGAGGGCATACAATGCTCCCAAGAGTTGCTACCGAAGGCAACTCCTGGGAGGCCTTCCTCAGAGCACAACTGTTACGCCCGTTGGAGGGGCCACTGGACCAGATGAAGCCAGATTTTAGGCGTGGGATTGAGCTGGATGAGGCAGGATTGAGCTGGACTGGCCAGGATATAACCGGATTGAGCGGGATTCAGCCAGATAAAACCAGCTGTCGACACACAAAGCTCGACATAAACAAACATGTTCCGAGCTCCACGCGGCGTTCTTGGATCTGCGCTGGAGCCCCCTGCGGGCGCCACTGGCGCAACCCCTGGCGTGCTCCGCGCGCTAGGGAGGGCAGTCCCAGCGCCGATCCAGAAAATCCGCGCGGAGCTCCGAAAGTTTGTGTTTATGGTGTCTCATCTTTGCAGAGACACAAAGAGAACATGCTGGCCAGCAACTCCTGTGTGCCTGTGGCCACTCCAGATACCCTCGGGCCATCAAAGAATCACGACGGGCGTCGTTGTTTTCCTCTATCTTCAGTCCCAAGAGGCCCTCACTGGGCGCCGGGGCTGTCACGACACGACTCGGGATGAAACACCAGTCCCTGGGAAGTGCTCCAGGCCCCTGTGAGCACGAGCATGGCGTCGAGGTTCTGGGACTGGCGAGCCCTACCCCGACGGGCCCAGACAGCGCTGGGGCATCGGACTCCCCCGCTGCGGTCCATCTGGCTGCAGGCGCCCTTCGGTTTCTGAGCCCCGGTCGGCCTTTCGGAAAGGGGACCTGCAGGGGGGAGGGGCTCACGTGCAGTTGCCGAGTGTGGGCACAGTCCAGGCCGGTCCAGGCCAGAAGGAGCCGGACGACGCCAGGCTGAAGCAGCCCCTTTCGGGCCTCAGGCCCGCCACGATGCGCGAGGAGCACCAGGGGGGAACAGGCGGAGGGGCCAGAGGCCAGACTCGGGCAGACTGGCATGCAGCAGGAGCTCGACCACGAGAAGCCTTCCGCGAGAAACCGGACCCTGAGACCCCAGGCCGTCCAGTGGTTTTTGGTGTGAGGACGTCACGCGTTCCATGGCAAAACCATCGAACCCCAAGACACTCAGGGCACCCTGGAGGCAAGCAGGGTGTGTCTTGGCATCGGCTTCCACTGTAGTGCCAAGAGAGTGCCAGTGAGAACGACGAAGCCAACCTGCCAGGGAGTGCAAGCTAAATAATGCAACACCACCAAGATTTAGGTCGGGCATGTCCTCCTTCGGGTGGAGGTTGGAACAAAACAACAACAAGCAGTCAAAGAAAGTCAAACATAGCCAAAAGAGTACGAAAGCTCGTCCCCAGGCCATGTATGACTACACTTGAGTCGTCCTCCTGTCGAGGGACATGGCCGACTTGAACCAAGCGTCCACGCAACAAAAAAAACTGTCATGGGCCCATCATCGGTCACCGGCCAGGGCGGGATGCCGCGTGCGCCACCATCCGGGCCTGCCAGGTGCCCCATGGTGGTGAACACGCTCGGGACGAACAACGGTTAAGTTGGGCGTGTCCCCCTACAGAGGGATTTTGGACGAATAACAAAAAATATTCAAAACATGCCCCCAAAATATTCAAAAATATGCAGAAAAATCGTCCCCAGACTATTTTTTGCCTATTTTTGAATAGTCCCCCTGCAGAGGGACAGGCCCGACTTAACACAAAGGCATACCAAGACCAACTATGTCCTCTTCGGAGGCGCGCGTCCGAGCCGCACATGCAGTAGACCCATCTCGTAGCATATCGTTTCCCGAACGGTGTGGCCAGAAACCGCCCGCCGCGACGCACATATACCAGAAGATTTCTCGGTGTCGCGCGTCGCCCCTGGGGGGACGACGCACATGCAGTACTGGCATGCTGGGGGGGCGCCGAATGTTCCCTCTCCCGCACGTGTAAGGAAGTGTAAAGTGGCTCGGGTAACGGATCGGAGAAACCTCCGAGCGATTGAGGCTAAACTGCTCCGGACACTGGCTGAGGTGCGACGGGGGAAGGAGCACGAGCGAAGCCGCGGGATGGGAAGGCACGGGGGAGAGGTGCGGAAAAGGATCGCACGCAGCTGCGAGCAAGTTGCGAGCCAGTTAGTTCGCCAGTGTGCGAAGTGCAGCAGCTCAAACCCCGAGCTGCTCACTGTCTTTGGAAGCAGGTCGGCCAAACGGGCGCAATCTGAAAGTGTGGTAGACTTCGGGTGCGAGAGCCAGACGGACAAACACGGCGCTCCCTGGAGGTCTCCGCTGTGTAGTCGGTCTCGTCGCCCAGCCCGTCTCGCGCGAGGACAGGAGCGGGGAGGACGGAGCGGGTGCGCAAGAGGATGAGGAGGATGGGGGAGGAGACAAACTCGATGATCG